TTAGACTATAGCTCATATAAGCAGGTTACCTAACCCCTTTGTGTAAGCCCAGGGTCGCAAAAAGGAAGCCTGTGCCAACCTTGAAAGCGTGAGGGGTGCTCGCCTTCTGTAGAAGCGTTCGCAGCCGATCGCTCGCCGCGGGTTCCGAGAGGACCATGACGTCCTCTGAAAAGATTGACGTCTGGGGTTGTACAAGCCTCTGCCAAAAGCAACTTTTTTTTAAAGGATTTTCGAGTTTGAACTTTGACGTTGAGGATAAGTTAAACCAATGTTAAACCAATGTAATAAGGGTGTAGAACCAAAATGATAAGACCTGGATGACATGATGAAGTGAAGGACTCGGAGCTTACGATTCGCAAATCAAAGTTTTCGGCTGGCACCAGTTAGAGTAGGAACAGTACTGGGAATCATCTTCTACGAATTTCAAGCCCGCATGGCAACTCCGCCGATAGCTCATGAGGCCATGCTAGGACTGACAACGATAATGACGCCAGCAAGAAAAGCCCCGGTGTCCGGCCTGCTACTTTGTGCTGGTGGTCTATTGCCTTTGCACAAAACTGCAAGACGAGGCTTATGGAACAGCTTGTATAGGGCTGTCTTGGCTGTAGCCCTTACACAGCTGGAGAGCCATGGAAATCCATATGGTAGCTTCCAAAACAACACTCAGAAGGTATACCGGATCTCGTCTCCAACCGCAAACCACGAAATCCATCCCACAAAGCGTCAAGCTCTCGAATTAAAGTCCTGCTCACATGGAGAGGTGGTCTGAAATGCTTAAACACAAGCTGAAGTACAGCTATAAAGAGGCTAGACGCGGCGGATGCGGCGGGCTCGGAGGCTCCAAAACAGTTGAGATGGAAGGAGAGCTACGGCTAGGTTCTTAACTGCAGAGTATCCCTGCAATGCCCAACCATGCCCAGAGTGCCCAACTCCAGAATATTATTCACAACTGCTCAACCCCAAATTGTCCCTGCAGCGCCCAAGGAGTGCTCAGCCAATAGCATAACTCTGCAAAATCCAGGCCAGGCACACACAAGCCATCCCACCACCGCAGCACTAGCGCTTGGAATGTACAGTTGTTATGTCTGCAGGTTGGCACAGCGTTTTAGAATTTCGTTGCAGATGCATGCTGAATATTGTTGCTGGAAATAGTCGATGACGCCATCAAATCACAAGAAGGTCAGGCTGGGAATATAGATAGTTCTGTTTTTCGTTTTCCGCGTTTGTTGGGGGAAGGCCAGAAGAAAGATGGAACACAACTAAAAACAAAGCTTGGCAAATCTACAAACTGCTAAGCTAAGGCTTAAAAAAGCTAGCTGCTGCAACCACAAGACTACGAAACTGCAGATGAGCTCTAGATACTGGGTTGCTGTTGAGGAACGTCACTTAAGTTACCAAAATATGTCCCCACATTTTGATAACTTAGTTTCAGTTCCTTAACAGCAACCCAGGATACCCCCAAAGCAATAAACTTCCAAACTCCTGAACACCAACCCTGAACTCCGAAATCTTAAGCCTTCAACATGCTGAATCTCAAGCTCACTATATTCCCCCATATAATCCCATGTATATTCACTAGTTCCCATTTCGTTTTCCATGTGATTTTCCATTTGATTCTCCATTATAGTCCCTATATAACCCCCATTTTATTTAGGCCCCATGGTATCCTGCAAGAGCATCCCGGTGGCAATCTCCAGCAGCTCTTCGCAGGTGTAATCCTGCCGAGCTAAGCTGTTTGTGAGAGGGGCCTTCTTACATCCTGGAAACCCATTGTGGTTAGGCAGTGGTTGCAGGCAAGCTGAGGTTTTCGGGTTTACTTGGGATTCAGGGTTTAAGGTTTCATGCTTCTGCGCGGAAGTCGGGGCTTAGGGTTCAAGATGTTGACTGGTGTTCAAAAATTGTTACATGCTTGCCGCAGCTTGAGGTTTGAGCGGAATGTGTAAGGATTCATGGCGCATTATCTCTACGGAGTATGTAGATTTGGGGCAGTTCTCAAAAGTTGGATGTACCACCCTTTCTAGTTTAGCACCAAGCGCTGTGACATGCAGAGCTCCCACTTTGATTCTGGGAACAAGCCGTGTAGGTTGACGGATGAGGAACAGGATTCCATCAGCACATATCTGATTAGGGATTGAATTTCGCTCAGGGCAGTTAGTCGATGACAAACGCGCGACTGGCCTGGAGAAGGCAGCCATATTCCGAACAACCAGTAGAATCCCTCATCCGTATCCTAACCCGAATCTCTAAACGTCGGCCCCCAAACCCTAAATAAACCTTACCCCCTGAAACCTACCCCCAAAACCGGGACCTGAACCCTGAGTCCTAGCCCCTAAGCCCCTCTCCCCCGGCCTCGAACTCAATGACGGTGGGGAAGCGGGAGCGCAAGCCTGGATTGGCCTCGATCCTGGGCGGCCACACTCGCAGCTTTTATTCGCCTAATTCTCGTGGACAGTTTAAGTTCTACTCTTAGAGATTTGGTGACCTTCGGCAATTTAGAAATCGGCTCAGGGTTTGCGTGCTTAGGAGTACTGGGATGAAGGTTTGGTGCTACGCGGATTACAGTTGTGCGGTTTCGAGACAATGTCTTCAGGACCATCGTCTAGAATGTCTGCCTTCAGCCTGAGGACTTGGAACCAGCTATTCGGGTTTGGAGATGAGACATTTAGGGCGAGGGAACGAAGGTTAAAGGTCTAGGTAATTCATCTAGACTTCGGGACAAACATAACGACAATAAATCTAATGACACGATACCTTGCAATGACGCTAGGTTCTGCAGTTGGAGTACAATGTTCACAGTCAAGATCCTCCAAATACCACCCACAACAATGGAACAATGGAATGGATGAAGAAGAGGTTTGAGAGGCACCGCGTTGCGTGCAGCAATGATGTGGGCAGTGAATTTGAAATTTTCTGACTTGGAGAATGTCAGAAAAACTGTCTAGGGCCTGCGCAGCCAGGTTTGCACATGTACGGAGGGTTTAGGGTCTTGTGAGTTTGAAGGCATGAAAGGTTCTTGGTTGTAAGAATACGACTGCAGCTTCGTTTGGTCCTCATACTGTTTGGGTTTCAAGAAGGGTCCCAGGCTCTTTGTGAATGGTCGGCATGGGGTGCGAGATTTTGGTAGAAAGCTCGGAATTTGAGCTTGCGGGCGAATGCCTTGTGTTTGATGCTCGGGGGTTGAGGCTTCGAAGTTGAGCTTGTACCTCAGGTTTTCTTTCTCCAGCGAAAAAAACTCTGAAGTCACAAAATCCCAAACACCATGAAGTCAAGTTTACCCTACACTACTTTGACATTTAGAGTCACTAAGCCTTATAAAGCCCAAGCTTTGCAGCCCTACCGCCTGAAGTCCCCTAAAAAGTCGAGCGTCAACCGCGCCATCTCGGAGCTATATCCAGCCAAGATAACAACCTCTTTGGAGTTTTGGGTTTAGGGTTACCAAGTCACTTGGGGTTTATAGGGTTTGGGGTTACATTTCTTGCAAGGATCTTGGGGTTTCAGGGTGTGAGGATTGTGTAAGGTTAAAAGCCTATGTCTTGTGCTCTTGGCCTTGCAGGTCCAATATACCAGCCTTACCAGGGGTGTAAAGAGGTTAGGGGCTAGTGCTTGAATACTTACTCCACGGGCCTTGCAACGGTACAGGACTTGTGCATGTAAAGAAAGGGTAAACCCTAACCCCAAACCCATAGGGCCTAGGCGTTAAGAGCCCGGGGCTTCTGGCTTGACGATAGCAACTTTGGAGCGCGTGTGGGTTTAGGGGATGTGGAGTAGATGCAGGAAATCTTGCACCACTTAGGACCGCCCAGAAGGATTCCTATGGGTGGTTGTCAAAATTATGGTCCCTTTTTGGGATCCCTATTATACTACGGCACCTGATATTTCGGGTACCCAAAAAGGGACCATAATTTTGACAACCACCCATTTAAACTGGGGCCAGATTTTCTCCACAGTGGCGGAGCAGGTAGGGGCCTAGGAGGCTGGGTTTGTGGAAGGTATCGACTTCCTGATGCTCCAAGCAGTGCCTGTATCCACAGAACCTAGATCTCCAGAAAAAGCTGTTACAAGCTTTCACCTACGTCTGTACTCGAAATAACCCCCACATTACAAACAGAAGCAGAGTAAACATACCTGAAATAACCTCACTGGCCCTGGAAAAGCCGCAATGGCCTAGACTTTGATGATCCCATTTACTGCAGACGGCATGTGAGTCTTATCGGGAATTACCCTAGCCCCCAAACTAAGAAGGAACCCCATATACCAGCCGTTGAAAAGGACAGTTGTCGTTATTCTAGGGCACTTTTTCAGGTTCCATATTAGTTAGGGGGCATAAGGACTCGCTTTGTCAGCAGTCGATCTGTCTTCTGGGATGGCCAGCGGCCTGAACAACCAGCACTCTCTGTATGCGCTTGGGATTCTACTCCCTATACCAAAGCGAGTGCCCAGCCAGCATGTTGAGAAGTACTGGGATCGACAGAAGTGTCTGCCGTGCAGAAACCAGCCTTTCTTCAATGCTCCTTCAGTAAAGGGTTTAGGGTTTAGGATTTAGGGCTTAGCTGCGTAACTCAGCAGAGATGATAATTGAGATCCAAGTGCTTGTGCCTTCGGAGAAGAGGCTTTTTATTGCAGACTGTAGCTACTTTCGGTTACTAGGCTACGTGGATGCCCTGAACCCTAAGCCCTAAACCACGAACCCAGAACCCAACTCCAAACCATGAACCCTCAACCTGGATGCTGGGCCCCTGGCCAAATCTTGGCGGTAGTCCTGGCTTCGTCATGTGTCCAGGGACACGACCCAAAGCTTTAGAAAACAGGTAGTTTCAGCTGTTCAGGGTTTTAGGTTCCCAGGGTCAAGAGGCTTTGGGGGTTACATTGTGTAGAGGTTTCAGGTTTTACGAATTCTAATTGCAGTTAGGATTTAGGGTTTGAGGTTCGGGGTGTAGGAGGGCTGTCAAGATTGTGGCACTTTTTAAGGCATCCTCTGAAATACGTTAGTCTTTTTGCTAACATCCCATTAAAAACGGATCTGGCAGTTAGACAGGAAGCTGCTTAGGATCACACGTTTTGCGCTTGAGATCCATGGGTGCACTTGTTGTCAAAGCTTGGGCTGTCCATCGAGCCATAGACACCTTCAAACCTAAGCCACACCCCACCTTTCGCAGCTGTGTGGCTTCGGGCTGCAGAGGTTGAAGCTTTGAACATCTTTGGCTGTTTCTTTCTTCGGAAAGCAGCGGGATTAGTACCCCAGAATGAAGGCAAACAGCTTGAATAATGCCTCGAAGCTTTGGGAGGTGCTTTTCGATGCTTTCAAGCAGGGGCTTGGAAGTCCTGAAATTTGGGGACTTTGTTAAGCTTGTTCCCGGCCTAAACCCTTGACCATTGAATTCATCACCTGCGACTCCACGCTTTTGGAATCCTGGCGTCTGGTCATGGCTTTGTACTGTGGCCATGATATGACAAGCTCCTGGCATTCTATGGGTTTTCTTGGAGTGCCATATTGCGATGCAGCCTTCAGCGACTTGCCTGGCGGGCATCTTTGTGCCATCATACTGTGGATGGAGGAAATCTTGCATTACCTTTTTGGCTCTATACTATAGGAATCACAGCATGGTGGGGTTACCAAAGTGCTGAAGAATGTCCTCCATCCATGTCCCTTTGGCTGAGCAAGCCCCAAGTGCCTCAGCCTGAACCCTAAATTCAACAGAGTGGTGTTTTTTGGTGGTTAAACCCAGTAAGATTATATTCCTTATATAAAATACTATACCCCATACAATCTTACTCTATATTGGGTACCTTGTATCCCCAAATAAAATACTACTCAACAGGTGTCCCCCCATATGTAAACCCTACTAATAATAGTAGTTTCCATTTTCTTTTCCATTATCCCAATATGTTCATCAGCCCCAAACCCTAAACCCTAAACCCGTGTCCCAACCTTGCTTTAGACTTCTTGAGCCCTTGCCCTTACATCACGCACTCCCCCAGCCTGAGACTAGACCAAGGCTTGAAACTGCCACACTCCGGATTCCTAACTTCTCAAATCCCAACTCTGAACTCCAAAACATGAACTTCAAAATCCCAAACTTCTTAACCGGGACCCTGAACACTGAAAATCTCAAAGCTATGCCCTAACCCCTGAGCCCTGCATCCCAAGCCTATCTCCTAAACTCCTTAGGACCCTAATCTCTAAACCGAAAAACCCCGGAACCCTAAAACCCAAAACTCCTGAAAGCTCTTAACCCCTGAACTCTAAAACCCCCAACAGCCTTAAGCTCGTTAGAACCCTTTGGGCCTCCATCAGCCCTTCTAAGGCCCTAAAGTCCCTGAACCCTAAACAGAAACCTCTATTTTCCGTTCCATGATCACAAAATAAGCCCAATATATACCCTAAACCCTAAACCCTATATAATATGGTTGTTTCCATTTTCTTTTTCATTATCCCTATATAACCCCTATATTGAATCCTGAACCCTAAACCTTTTGCGCCTCCACCAGCTTGATCAAGGTGTCCAAGGCCTCCCGGCCGAAAGAGTCGCGTCCATCCTCCCCCACCAAGGCGTAGGCCTTCGGTAATGAGGGTTTAGGGTTTAGGGTGGCTGTCTAGATTGGGGCTCTATAGGAGTATTTGGGGGTCATAATATCTAGGGGTTCATGATAGTGATATATGGGGTTTAGGGTTTAATGGCTGCTGAGGGTTCTGTATAAGGTTTAGGGTTATAGTTGAAGGTTATAATCTACAGCGGTTCTATAAGGGCTAGAATAAATTAAGTTTACATTGCTACCATTACTATGCTTTCTATTATTACAATTATTTCTATTCTTACTCGTTTATGGGCTGTGTATAGCGTTTAGGTTTAGGATTCCTTGTATGGGCCTTAAACTAAGTTATCATATCAGCAATAGTCTAGCCTCCTATATAATCCCCTATATAATCGCTTTTGAGGAGTTTAGACTATAGCTCATATTATGGGTACATAGCAAGTACTATGGTTTCCTTATTCTAATAACGGTATTTACATTCCTTAACAACATCCAAGAACTGGCTGTCCAGGGTTGTTTATGTGTAGGATCTAGGGCTTCAGGGCTGAGGATTTGAGGGTCTAGTTTGGGGGCCTCAGGGCTTGGGGCTGAGGATTTATGGCCTGAGTTTAAAGCCGCCGTGGATGCGCGAAGAACCAAACCCGGGATCTCAAGCCTGTTAAAGGCCCTGACGCTTCCACTTTCCAAGTGCATGGGAAGTCAGTTTTTTCTTGAACTCATGAGTGGGTAATTATAACAATAGTAATAGTTGCTGTAGAAGTAATAATAAGACTAATAACTGTAAGGAGGTCTGACTTCCAAGTTTCGAGAGCTAATCCTGCGCCCGAGACATGTCAACCCGAAGCTCTACGCGACCACGTCAGCCGAAACCCAGAGCCTCCAAACACGCCAAGGGCCCTTATCAGCAAGGCCTCGTCTATGAAGAGGACGCCTCCCAAGGCCTTGTTCGCAGCTTAGCGGGATCAGCTTTGTAATTCAGGGTTAGCCGTGGTGCTTGTTCTGCAGGCTTCTATGACAGATCTGCCTTTTGAGCGTGAAAGGAAACTTGTCAGGTTTTAGAAGGCTTCCAAACAAATACTCTTGAATTCATGCCTCAGATGAAGAGTGTTTTGGAAGGCCAAGCCACGTCAGACCTTATCACAGACTACAGCCAAACTCAGAACACATTCGTACTCTTCTCTAGGGAGGCTTATAGACCTATTCAACACCTACTCATTTGACTTAACATCTTCTTTAGATGGGAATGCTCCACTCGGTGATCTCTACTTATGCTTTGGGGACAATCACAATCCCTACCTGATTTTTTGAGGGTATTGCGAAGTGGGGACATTCTCTTGGAGAAGCAAAAAACTCTGGGGACTTACAGCCCCACTTGCATAACCCCGCCCCCCACTTTCACAAGCCCCTGTCACAATCCCCCAGCTCAAGCCCTTAACCTGATTCTAGTATCGCTCACCTCTTCTGCGTGCCCTCTTTGCGGGGTAGCGTTTTGGGAAGATAAGGATCCGAATGTTAAGCATACCCAAACCCTTCAACCCTAAGTCCTAAACTAAGGCAGGAACTGACTCCACCACTGCCTTTGTCTTCAGGGCAGTTTGACCGCTGAAGCCTGAGATGTGGTTTTGGAGACTGGTACATTCGAGTTGAGTGTTATTGGCTTGTATCCATTATACAGGGTTTCCATCACGGAGGACTCTCCTACGTACCTCAACATACTACAAGTCTTGTGGTCCCTTTCAGGATCTGGGGACGATTATACAGATCAAATAAATGTGCGTAATTATTGACATTCTACAATCTTCTGCATATCGCAGCAAGCCCAATACTATGCTAATCCTCAGCCTGCCATCCGTAAAAATCTTCTCCCCGAGCATTATACCCTATAACTGAAAATACCTGAAGCCCAAAGATTCAGCTCGTACATCTGCTTCCGCCCCTGCCTACTCCCTAAACAAAATCTTCGACTCCTTTTGCGATTAGGGATCGGGGTTCAGATAGAGATATGACCATGCCTGCCGCCACCCATGAAATTCCCACTGTAAGGGAGATTCGAATACCGTAGGGGCCTGAATAATGAGACATAACTTTTGGGTACCACGTAGAAATTGGCCGGCGG